TCTGCATGAAATCATGTTGGTGGTCTCCCAGCTCAGCGCCTTCTGAGGAGCTGTATAGTGAAATATCCTTCCATACCACTAATGAATGCGCCCACCCACACTGGAGCTGGTGCCCCCTAAGAACTCAATTCAAGAACAACTTTTTAAACTCATAAATGAAATCAAAGGGCTCATTCTATGAGCCAAAGAACTTACAATTTTAGGTGGGACAGTTAATGGGTGGTTACTACAGGTTGTCCCCTTGGTTTACAGTATACAGTCTCACAAGAAAAAATAATAAGCAGGATACCAAATATGTACACAGCATTCCAATTAAGTAAATTTTATCCTCCTCCAGTGAATACATAAATTGCTGCTACCCTGGTTACTGTACAAAGCTTGAGTGACTTGCCTAACATCGACCAAGGGAACCAAAGTAGACACGCAGTATCTTGGTTTACTTTCCTGAGCACAAACAAGATCACCTTCTAGATCACTAAGCAAACAATCACGAAGCAACCAAAAACTCTCGAATTAGCCATGAAAACTCCAGCAACAGCACCCAAGAGATAGTTTTTAAGATGACTGACACTAAACTCTCCCAAGGACTCCTGTTCTTGCGTGGATGAGCACTTGCCATTTCAAGTACAAGCAGTGAAGCCTGGTGGCAACATCCAGAGAACTTAGTAACCCAGTTGTGCCACTGAAGCAAGGTGTGGATCTAATCCTGCAATGAGGAGATGACTCCTTTAAAGAGGCCTGTTATAAAATTATCAAGTGACACAGGGGGTGAAAGGAATCAAGCCCGTTGTAATTGAAGTGACTTGAAATAATAAATGCACACACTTTCTTTAAACACAGCTTGCCACATCCTGAGAATCTGGAATCAATTCCTTCCCTTTCAAGAAGCTTAAAAGTGGTGGGACTTTGATATGGCATGAGCATGTTTGCTTCTGGGCTTACAGCCCTCGCCAGCCCATTCCAAGCCTTTTAACATTTTTATATTATAAGACAGAAAAGTTAGGAAAACAAAGATGGAAAAAAAGAATCAGAAATTCAGGGAACTATTAAATCAGGGCAGCCTAGCTGCCAAATACCTTTGGTAAGTAAATGAATCATGATCAATAACATATTGCCTTACAGACTTACAGAGAAGGTTATCACCTGTTTCTGTGCCAGGCATAAAACATAATGGTGTGTGGCTAATGAAGTACTGCATGAATCCAGAGAAAAAAATCGCTATTTTTCTTTGTAACGTTGAAGCATTTTACCTCAAAGTAATTTTAACTCATCCAGAAAAAACAAGATTTTTTTTCCATGAAAACTTGGTCAAAATTGATAGGTTAGTATGAAACACTTCTCTTTTGATGATGTTGCATTTGTAAGAGGAAACTGTCTTGATAGAAGGAAACCTATTTTGTTAAGGGGATGTTTAAGCCCCGATTGTAAAGCTGCTTGTTTTATATATTCACGTATTTGCCAGCAGAGGGTATCACAATCTTAGATATATGGATCATTGCATCTACTCCCTTAGATGCAAGAATTCAGACGTTCACTAAACCAAAAAATTACAAGTCTTGTTTTCTTCTGTAACTTTTCCACTATCAGGGGAAAAAAAAAAAAAAAAAGAAAGCCCACAGAAATAGTTTAGCTAATTAGAGGCTGCAGACTACATTACCTGTGCCACCTCACCACCTCTCTCAGGATAGGAAATACTGCAATGACATGGCCAAGTGATGGTGGAATCAATTGAAGTCTGAAATTGTTGCATGACCCTGGCTATAAACCCTCTTGGGAGGAACACCACCTTGGGCTTATCTCTGGTGTGCGTTAAGTTCTTAATTCTCACATCCAGTATTCTTATACTGCATAAATCTCATTCATTATCCCAACCACTTCACTCTACTTTTCAGCAAAGAGGTAACAGCCACAGGCTGTAGTGAGAGCTCATGTTACGCAGACTGTGTGATCTCTGCTAAACCAGTATGCTATGAAGAATGATCATATATAATTACACTTAACCCACACTTCTCACAGCTAGAGATAGGCTGATGCTACAAATTTCCAGCCTGACCTCCCACGCTTTAACAAATTCACCTCCCTGACTCCCAGTTTAAGAGAACATAATTCAAAGAACCTGAGGTTTGGTCATTTAGCTTACTTGGTAGTCAGCACTCCCCTATTCCCAACTAAAATAAATCACAGTTATTTTCTTATAACACTCTGGGTTCTCCGTTCTATTCCTGATTCATTAACAAGTCTTATTCTATTTGTGTATTTTGATCATGTGGAAGTGATGTCCCAGTTGGCTTTCCAGATTAACACAAGCACTTGAGTCTCAGCTGGAACTAGGAGCTGATACAGAGGATGACTGTGAGACGTGTATAACTTTCATCTGAGAGCTGGGGTGTATGGGAACTGTTTAAGATAACCACAAGTAGCAATATCTGTTCTTTTTGGATCTCACCTGCTCATATGGACACAGGGAAAGGAACATTCACCTGTGTAATTACATTTTATGTTTATAAGATGCTTTTTATTATTACAGATCTATGTACAACTACTTCTGCTGTTACAAAGAAAAGATAATGCGTCAGAATCTTCTGCAAAATAACATGTATCAGAGCAGGGCTAGAGCCCCAGATCCATTTCTGGTCGGTCTTGCAATTAAAAAAACACCACAATTTTAAAAAATACCAAACAAAAAGCAATATTTCATTAGGAAATATGCATCCAGTGGTGCCGTCCTTTCCTTTCGCATAGTCTTTTCACTGCTCAAGAAATTTAATACAACTATCTTTTAACTAATTCATTATCTGCCATCTAAATCAGCCTTCAGAAAAACTGATGTAGGTTCAGATGAACTGGATAGGAAAGTGGGTAAGATGTCCCGGGATGAGAGAAAATCTGTTCCTGCTTAGCCCTTGAAAACTGAAAGTCAATTTGTTGAAAGTGAGGTCTACTTCCTGCGTGCCCATGGAATGGGTTTGGAACTAGATGATCTTAAGGTCCTTTCCAACCCTAACTATTCTATGATTCTATGGCATAAGTCTGCACTGATAGTCCCAAGGACTCTGAGGTCTTCAGAAACTTTGTTGATAGAAAAAGCATTTAGGTACTACTTATACTCTGCTCGTCTCTGCTTTATTCTCCCTACACTGCAGCACTCCAGCTGTAAAAAATTCAGCTAAAAGGTTTCGTCTATTTCAAAGAGGAAAGTTGAGTATCAGTATCTTTAAAGACTGCAATGTGTCTGGATATCACAAGATCACTAATCAGATAACAAAAAGGAGGGAGGATGTGTGCAGGGAACAAAGATTGTTGTTCTACTGTCACTTAGCATCTCTTCCCTGTAACCTTGGCGTGCTTAATTGCCACTGGGAAGCATTTTCCTTTCATTTTTAAGCATACCTAAACCAAGAGTCTGTTGGGCAGAACTAGGGAATGCTGTAATTAATCACACTGCAGCTAGCAAAAATGTGAAGACCTGGTCATGAGCACTTTGCAGGGTTAGATTCCTTATCTCATAGGAGTGGATACACAACCTTGAATTCCAGCTCTGGTTATGACCAGATGCAGACACCTGTAGGACAGCCATTTATTATGGGCTGGAGATGCCAGCCCTTATGAGTCCAGGGATTTGCATGATGCAGAGTCACTGAGAAGCGACACTTTGGTTTATGCATGTAGACAGATACCCGTGGCTGTTTTAGAATGCAAGGGGCAGCACAGATGAACTTAAGATTTACAGCTGCAGAGCAGACCATAAAAAATTCCTTGCAAATAGCCAGAATATTTTATTTTTGCTGTAACATCTATTTAGTCTAACTCTTAATTTATCTTTCTTTTACAACTTCCTACAGAGGTTAGCTTAGCATCCCGTTAGCATTAAACAAAAAAACACAACTTTTTAGCATCCCTGAGAAGTGAAGCACTATAATTATTTCCTTCTGTTAACAACACAAAAATATTAAGGAGCAGATTGTTATCTGACATAAATCATCATTTACCCATTTTCATCTCATGGGTCAGCCCCAGGCAATGAAACATAATCACACAAATGAAATCTGTGGCAAAGCTGGAATCTGAAACAATCTAGTCTTTTCTGAATGATATGATGCAAGAACATGGTATTTAACGTGCCTTAGGTCTCTGTCTGTGAAATTAGTAATATAGGGTAAGATGTACATCAGTGAGTAACTGTGAGTATTCTTCTAGATCATCTCAAGGGATATGGCAGTGTAAATCCATTAGCTTTCATCCAGAACAGGAGCTTAGACTATCTGAAGTCTTGCCTCTCCAAGGGGAATGTGGAGAATAAAAGCAGTTTCATTAAGCAGACAGTGTAGGATGCATGTAAATATACTCCCCAGCTTCTGGGGGGTTATTTCTTTTGACAGGCAAACGTGAGGAAAAGTCTGAAGCTTACAGAGTGTAAATTGCATTTCTTAAAGCCACTTCTTTCATTTATTTATTTTGCATTTAATGTGTTGCTATAACTCAGTTTATATGAGCAAATTAGCTATAACAGCGTAACATAATCATAAGTAGGCCAAGAGTCTGATGGCTACATCTATGAAGGTTCAGGGCATAAGCTGCTCTCACCTAGTCATTCACTGCTAAATTTTTAGTACTAGTACAGTTTTGGGCCCAGACAACACACGTTCCTCTAAGAGGTGCCTGGGCAGAGTAGAGGAGGCAGTTGGGCCACCCGCCACTTCCAGTAAGCAGCATGGGATCCTGTTCTGGAGGAGAAGCCGGGCTCTGTGGACAGGAGCCGTGCTACGGCAGCTGGTAAAGGGGCTACAAAACATTCTGTGGCCTGTTTTATTTGCTATTATAGATGTAGTTAATTCAAGCGTGGATGGGCATGTGAATTGAGCCCAGTGAACCAAGCTAATCAGTGGAGGTACCTGATGTCATGTGAACAGATTTTACAATAAAACAATTGAAGAATGGCAAAATTATTGCACATCTAAGCACACAGAGTCCCTGGCACATTTGACAATGATCCCACTCACCAGCATTATCCTGCTGCTTGGTATTTTTGATGTATGCAGAAAATTTGGAAAAGATATCAATTCCAGCAGTGTTTGATTCCCGGTGCTTGGCAGCCAACTTGGGGTACCTGAAAAAGAAGCAGTGGTGTGGAGAATGATGTATTGTTACCAGCAACATAGTGATGATCACAAATACAATTTGCAAGAAGAAAGAAGAAAGCCCTGTACGAGGAACTGCAATTAACACTGTCATTTATCTCAAAACAACAGCTTGGCAAGTGCCTCTTAGTAATAACTGTGTCTATCAAGGCAGGTGTTTGGATAGTTACAGAGTGACAGCTTCATGACAAAGGTTGCACTGGTGCTTTATGTTACCACAATCCAAGATACAGTGGCCTTAAATCAGAAGGAAGCATACATTTCCAGAAAGGTGCATGCAAGTTTGGCAGCCAGCTCTCTCCATTATGAGTGTCAGTCGTGTCTAATTCCTTACACTGAAAATGTACCCCAGAATGTAATAGGAAGGCATGTTAGTGTTACCCAGGTGAAGGAACATAAAGTTTTCAGTCTCTGAATTGTTTTTTATAGACATCTGGCACAAAGGAATACATTGCTTTGAAAGACCAACACAAAGGAATGACTCCTACTGACTTCAGTGGTCTTGGAACAGAGTATAAAAATTTAAATATCTGATCTCTTGCTGCAGGACTGGCCTATAGCTGCTGATTCACTTGGAGGTAAAACACTCTGCAAGGAACCAAGCCAATTTTCATTGATTCATAGATTTTAAGATCCAGATCACAAGCCAACAATTTCCTTCCCCCACCCCCACCCCCCATCTTATCCTTGTATGAAGTCCAAAATGTTGGACTAACTAAGGCATATCTGGTATATCTAAATCTTTCCTTGGGAGCTTGTTCCAATTGTTAATCACTCATACGCAAAAAATCTGTGCCTTCTTTCTAATCTGAATTAGTCTGGTTATAACTTCCAGTCATGGGCTTTTATCATTTCTTGACTAGAATAACGAGCACTTTTCTGCCTCCAGAGACTCTTGTACTCTGTAATCAGTTCCCCTTCCAACCTTTCTAACACATCGTACAGTTCAGAAAACCTCCAATTTTTCACTGTGAAATGCTTTTCCTGGCACAGATATTTTTGTGTGGCAATTATCGGCACCTATTCCAAGTTATTTTTAACTTTGTGAAATGTGGACACCAGACCCCTACAAAATTTTTCTAGTATTGGTCTCCTTAATTCTGCATACAAGGGCATCCTGAAATGTGTACAGAGAAAACATTCTGCAGTTATTAGTCATACAAGCAACCTTCACACATGGAAGTCATCTCACTGAAGCCAGTAAGTTTCATAAATAAATATTACTCCTGTAAGTAAAGATTGTAGGATGGAGTGCTTTTTAGGAACTCCTCTTAGGACATCTTTCATTCCGAGGAAATGGAATATTGACTGAAAAAAAATCCCAAGTTCTTACTTTGGAGGTGCGAGAGTCTCTTCCAAGAATTCCTCAATCTTGTTAACATCTGTCTTGACTTCTCCATTAAAAGTCAAGAAAGGTGGATGAGTCCCAGGAGCCAGATTGTGTAGGTCAGCTGGCTTTCTGCAGAGAGAGAAAAAGTCATGAAATCACTAATCTTTATGGCCAAGTAGTTGCACAGATATTTATAGATCCTAAAAAATCAGTTTGCCCTTCTAGTTTTTGTTGTTTGTTTTTTTTTTTTCTCCAGTTTGTGGTTAGAAGACTTTGAAACTACCCCAAGCACCTTGTTTAATATAAAAACATTCCACAAATGAAAAAAAACCAACACCACAACCTGAATCCCAACTATTTTGTTGTGCACCACAGACTCTCTAGGCTAGATACCAATCTGATTGAACTTGGTGGGGCCTTTCTATAGCGAAAACACTGGATCGTATAACTATTTTGAATTAAACTGAATGATTTGTACCTTTTCAGGTCAACAGTGGTGACGTTGAACACAACTCCTTTGAGCCAGAGGATCATGAAGAGACGCTGCGAGAACGGGCAGTTCCCAATGCTTTCTCCATCTATCCCTGCCTGAGGGATGGAAAGAGAAGAAAAATAGATTTCAGACTTGTTAATCACTTACCTCCCTCAAGATGGAAAACTGGATGTTGAAAGAAAAATAACCACTTTAAAAATAACCATCAGTGCCTGCTATTTAATATAGTTTATCATCAGCACAAAAATGGAGTTACCCCAGGATTTGCCCGTCATGAGGAGCTTGAGAAACTAACCTGGTGTTTCTCTTGAGGGCAGCTCCGGGTAAAGGAAACATGTCCCTTGCTGATGGCAAGCAACATCCAAGAGACTGCATATTCTCTGAATTACTCACATCCCTACAGGACTGCCTGCTTCATGGACATGCTAGAAAATTCAGGACAGGTTTTCTGCTCTATTTAATACTGTGGACTGCAGCTTGTATCAGCTCAAGATCTGTTTCACTGTTTTATGGTCCAAAATGTGGACTTCTAGATTTAAATTTAAACCCAAGCACTTCTGGACATTCACTCATTCTTGTTAGTATCAGTAAAGCAACAGCCTCAGACACAAACAACCAGATCTAGGCAGAAACCTCCATCTGAATCCTTCCAAGGTTCAAAGCAGATTTCAGCCACCGCATTGTCTGTTCCTATCTCTAGTATCTAATGAGTTGCCTACAAACCACTACAAAGCAAAGAAAAACTGCTAGTGTTAGCACTGAGGAAACTGTCTATTTTTCCCTCTGAAAATTTATGGTTCTTAGCCATGCTAATCCTGACTTTGAGCCATGGAGGGATACAAATAACACTAGCTGAACTGAGCCAGAGCTGCGTCCAAGGACAACATCCTTCTACAATAATTATGCTTGTGGCCAAAGCTTTCAGGACGATAATGGTTTTGATAGATTTCCATTTTAATTTGTGGTACCATTGTGTTTAAAAGATTCTTATAATCCTGGTGAAGCAACCAACCTTCCGCTGTTGAACCGCATGGGTTGCATAACTGTATTTTATGCACACAGTGTGTGTCCGAAAACGGCTGATGAAAGAGCTAAGTAAATAGATGCTCTTTTCCTTTGGAGAAAATATTATATTACTCTGTTTGCTCTCATAAACTTTATCTTGTTAATATTCAAGCTGTGAGGTAGCATTTGTCTGTCTTAAGGAAGGACTCATTTCTAATTGTTGCAGTTCTGTGAAATATTCACTGCACAACTAGGAGCACTTTGAGATGTGTCCAGTTGCTACAGATTCAGGCCTTGCATCTGAAATGTTTAGCTGAGAGATTTTCTGGTTGGCGTCAGGAATCTTTCTCATGTCTTGAACACAGCTTTTGATGATTCTGGGTTTAAAAACAAATTCCACAACTCCTATCTACCAAATATGGAGAGACTGTGGAATCAAGGCGTGGAGAGAACCTGTTGTGAAGTTTAGGGCTATGTAAAGAGTTTTTATCTGAGTTAAGACTGGTTTTGAGCACCCAGATTCTAGATATGTGTGGATATAGGGGAACAGTTTGACTGTACTTTTACCTGAAATTATGGATCTGCAATATGCCTTGCACATGGCACATGAAAGAATCAGCAGACAATGGGGGTGAAAGAGTGGTATGGCGTGAGGATGAGCAAAAGAAGATGCATTTTCCCATCTGCCTGAGGTGTGGTTAGCCTAGTTCTGCAAAATTTCTCTAGTTAGTTAGCTCTGATCTGCAAATCTCATGGCAAAACAATGACGAGTTACAATGGGAATACCAGGCACCACTGTATTGCATGCAATAATTACTGCAAAGTCACATTTGTTGATTTGGCTTGTTAAACCATGGCCAAGAACTTTTAACTTCTTACCCTTCCTGAAAAGAGGCAAATGCTATAGGAGAAAACAGCAACATGACACCAAACTTCTCTCAGGCTTTTTCACCATCTCAGATCATAATCATATCCTTCATAATGGAGTTGGCTAACTGAGTCTAAATAATATAATACAAACCTAAAATTTGAAGAAAAACAGATCAACGACTGAATGAGAGGGCTGAAGACTGAAAACCAAAGGACTGATTCTCATCTTACATTCTCTGGATTTACTTTGGCTTGTAAATTCATTGATTCTGATTCATTCTTCACCTGATTCCCTTCAGAGTGTAAAATTCTGATTTGCCAAGTCCTGCAAATACCTCGAGAGCGAAGAGATTATGTCTCACATAACGTGCAAAGCTCTACCCTTCCTTACAGGTGCCCATCCTTCATGGAGGTGATCTCCTGCCTGTTCTCATCACCTACTTCTTGTGCTGCAAGTAACAACTTCATCTTTTTTCAGGAAAGAGACTGAGGGAGGCCATTTCCCTGCTCTCTCCAATTGTATATTCTCATACAAAGGTTTTGTACAAGATGCAGATCTGCATCTTTTTACCCATTCTACACCCTGTAAGGCAAGAGTGAAAAACCCTCTCGATACCAGAGAGGACTGAAGGGGCAACAGAGCAGCTGAATGGCAAGGAAGAAATAGGAGTGATGGGTCGTGTGAGGCTAAGGGATGCAGAAGTCATCGGGGACAGGAGAAAGACGTGAAGTCTGGAAGAAATAAGATTCACTTGGATATCAAAACCAAAATTAATTGTGCAGGTCAAATGAGGCCTCCAACAGCCCTAATGGTCAAAATATCTCCTCAACACTTCCAAAGGAGTGGGAAACATTAATTGCTAGAGACATATTGGGAATAGACAGAGGAAATTCCAGAAATGAAAGATAAACTAAAGGAAAAGCATGGTATGATCTCTGTTCAAAGCTCCTGGATCTGGGAGCCAGGCTCATGATTTGGGTGGAGTCTGACTCATGGTTTTTGATCTCATGTGACTGACATAACTGAAAATGCTACCACAAATCACAAGACAAACTGATGACAGAGGAGGAAACAGAATCAAAATCTCCCCGGCAACACAAATTACCCATTAAATTCAGCTCTTTTTCTGCAGATATTATAGGCAAGGCTGTGCTGGTTTTGTGAATTCTTTCTCATTGTTTCTAACAGCAATCAGTAATTCAATGTTCAGCACTCAGAAAGACTGAAACCTTAGTAGGTAATAACTTCAAAGACTTATCAGAGTGTCTCGAGACCCCTGTGAAGTCTATTAACTACCAGGAGGAGATGAGGAAGAACAGAGAACTTCCCAGTCTTAGTCACTCTTAGCTTCAAAGAAAAACAGCTTGCTTAAAGCACCCCACTAGTGCCTAAATACAAGCTTATTATGTATCTGTCCAAGGTTAATGGCTCAGAATGCAGGAATTAAATAATACCTTTATCGAGATCAAGAAATCAAACAGTGGATGGAAAGAAAAGAACAAAAAATTGACAAGTTAGAGAAACACCATTTATCCCTGCTGTTATTCACAAATGAGCACAAAAGCTTTTTCACATAGCTTCCCTGAAGCACACAAAAATTATCAACCACATATAAAAAGGAGCGAGTTCGTGATATTTGCACTATCCCTGCCAGAAACACTAGATATTTCTGATTTAATGATTGCAACTAGGGATAGGCTTGAGACTTCGTAGGCACTAGGATCAACAACATAGCTTTTAAAGTGCACTGTAAGTCCTAAAGCTGTGAAAGGATTTCAGAGCCTCCTTCTCTCTGCAAAGAAGGACCTCATCTGAAAAGGCAAATCCCCAGAGTGCCTCTGGAAGAGCAAAACAGATTCAAGCATCTGCTAGGTGAGATTCTTTGGCTAATACTCATCCCACCGAAGTTCAACTGAGATGCCTAAGAGAAGGTCTCCTGTGTGGGCAAGGCCAACATGCGCATCCAAAAGATTAATCTGGCCACCTTTCACTTCGACTGAAACCAATCAGTGCCTGAATTTAGTTGGGATGAATGTGGACCTCAACGGTAGAATAGCCTGGAGGCAGAATTTCTAGAGAATAAATGTGCTCCAGCTTGGAAACATCAGTTTCTGCTCCCATGGCTTCTCACAAGTTTCCTTAATTCACCCACTAAAAACAAAAATAAAAATCCTTTTCTATTCCTTCTCGAGCTGTTTGGATACTTCACACCAACTGATGCAAGGTCCTGCCCTGGAACTCCATATAATCACATGAGAAAACCTCCACCACTATACCATCTGCTTATCTCTGAGCAATGGCAAGAATGAACAAGATGTTCTCCTTTCTAATTTATAAGATGCTCCTCCTTAAATACTTCAGATATTTTTAATGAATTAACTAATTAAACTTCAAAGATATTTGTGTGCACAGCTGGGGGATGTACAGACACATTACCAAGGAACAAAATTAAGGAGGGGGGAGGAAGTCGTGGTGATATTATGAGTTTGTGCCAAGTATTTCTGTAAAGTAGAGGTAATATCAAAAGTGTCCAACCACTGCACAGCACAGCTGAATGACACAAACAGGGAGCTCTTCTCAAGTTCAAGCTAAGACTTTGCTATAAATGAAATAACTGGAATAAGCTTCCTCACTTGTTCCAAAAATACTCTAACTGGTACGTGCACAGTGACTGCAATGCACACAGACAACTCTATATTATTTTAACTAACATTAAGGAGGGTGGTGGGGAGGAAAGCAAGTTTCATTTCCAGTTATTCCCAAAATATAGCAGCTTTAAGGAAATATAATGTCATTAACAATAACTAAGCATCAAGCTTACAAATGGCAGCCCTGGAAAGAGCTGCATGTCAGAAAGCACTGTATTTTTTCCAGGAAAATAATGTATCTGGGTTTACCCATTCTCCTCCTTTTTCCTTTTTCATTGCATTGAGGCTACTCTGCACAATGGTCCAGTGCTCTCTGAGACACATGGGTAAAATAGGGAGATATTTTTGATGGCAGTAAAGCACATTTCTTTTTCAAAAGGGTTTTACCTAGTTAGCAAAAGCAGGCAGGCTAATTTACCTCAGTGTTTCCTAGTAAGGATTAAGGAAGGATTTGATTTTATCATCCCTACAATCAAAATCTAGACTCACATTACACATGGTTACACCCTCTCTGTTTTAAAATTGGGAAAGCGTCTGCCTTTTGACACTTACTCTCCTTACACTCAGAACC